TATATATATATATATATATATATATATATATATATATATATATATATATATATATATATATATATATATATATATATATATATATAGCTTAAGATTTTGGTTTACGAAACACAAACAGTGCTCAATACCATATAGATAGAGCGTAATATAGTTTCTCGTTTTACCTCAAAAAACCACAACAGTCTGTTTCATCCGTATAGGAATCATCAGGTGGTCTAGGTATAGGAATCATCAGGTCATCACTATACGGATGAAACAGACTGTTGTGGTTTTTTTAGGTAAAACGAAAAACTATATATATATATATATATATATATATATATATATATATATATATATATATATATATATATATATATATATATATATATATATATATATATATATATAGTTTTTCGTTTTACCTCAAAAAACCACAACAGTCTGTTTCATCCGTATAGGAGTCTGTTTCATCCGTATTTCATCGGATTGCCATCTAATGAGGACCACCTGATGATTCCTATACGGATGAAACAGACTGTTGTGGTTTTTTGAGGTAAAACGAAAAACTATATTACGCTCTATCTATATGGTATTGAGCACTGTTTGTGTTTCGTAAACCAAAATCTTACGCTATATATATATATATATATATATATATATATATATATATATATATATATATATATATATATATATATATATATATATATATATATATATATAATTAATTAAAGTTCTCCGGATTGAAATATAAAAAGTATATTTCAATCCGGAGAACTTTAATTAATTATAATATGCCTGGATTACAAATCTTTAAACATATATATATATATATATATATATATATATATATATATATATATATATATATATATATATATATATATATATATATATATATATATATATATATATATATATATATATATATATATATATATATATATATATATTTAGGTAGTCCAAAAACCAAAAAGTGGTACGGTACCAAAAATTGAGCGTATAGTGTAAACGAGGCTTAGCTAAATAGATAGTCCAAGAACCAAAAAAGGGTACGGGTACCAATTTTATCCGTGCCGTACCAAAAATTGAGCGTAGTGTAAACGGGGCTTCAGATTCTTTATCGGCACTACGCCAGATTGTGCAACAGCACTCTTGACTAGAAATTTATTTAATATACCGGATTATTGTTATAAAGAGATCATCGTTTATCATGTTAACTGCTATTAAACCTTTCCAAAAAACCTTTGTATTTTCGTACACTACAGAGTCCTTGTTTTGAATCCGGTTTTTTCTATTTGGAGTCAGGGTTTTCAAAAGTCAAGTTCGTGTTTTTTTAAACACGAGTCCGGATTTTTTCGAGTCTGGGTCCGGGTTTTTCTCGAGTCCGGATTTTCTTAGAGTCCGAGTGCGGGTCCGAGTCCGGGTTTCGAAGTATGCCGCTCTTTTGTGAGTGTGGCCTGTTGTACATCTTTCACCAGACACTTAATTATACTACACAAAAATTCCAGCCAGCCTTTCATCAATCACGCGTGATCCGATGTTTTGGTAGGAACGCCAATTGCTGCAAACACAGTTAACTGTGCTGCAAACGATAGTTTTTTACTTGTACACGTGTATAGGCTTCACGATTCTACTAAAACGGTAATGGAAAGCGTGACGGACGTATGTGAATTCTACTGGTTCAACTATATCCAACAATTGTTCCCATATATAAACCAAGATTGTTTGAGAACATAATTTAACGTTTCAGAACTAACTACAGAGTTGCCTGCGGAGGAGGCTAAAGTGTATCCATGCGGCACTTCGCCTGAAGTGAGGAAGGATGGTGCTTTTCATTTGGAGTCTTCAACCCCAGAACCCCTTCATCCACAAAAACATCTTGTGTTGAATTGTGTTTTCAAATGGTCTTATTTAACAGCTTGGGTCATTGATGTTTGGATTTAACTATATTTCATTTGATCTGTTTGTTTGACTTTAGGATATCGTTACGTAATGAAGTATGTTGTTACGTAATGAAGTATTTCTTATCGAATGTCCCAGCGTTCTGAAAGTTAGTGGAGCATACACGTGACACTTAGCAAAACCAAACACATATCTAAACACAAGCTTGAGAAAAAGGAGAACTAAAATTACATTAAACTTGAGAAAAAGGAGAACTAAATTACATTTCGGTTGCTGAGTTCCAGGTAGCAATGAACAATATTCACGAGCTTGGATGAAGGATCTAACTAAGGTATAGTTATGTCTTTTAACAAAACAACTAAATTATAGTTTAAAAATATATTAATTATTGTATTATAATCTTCCATGCAAAAATTACTGTTGTAGTAAGCAATTCTCTAAAGGAGTAAACTCCATTTTCAAGAGCCCGAGATCACAACTCTTTTCACCGCTAGTTGTCTGCTTATACCATGCAGTTTCTTATATAATATATAGGCTATCATAAGAGCCTCCAAGTGTTTCAGTAAAGAGTCTTGAAAGAGACTTTTCATTATAAAATACACCATGTGATAATTGTTATATAGGCATGGTATATGCATGTATTCTTATAGTATTATTCATCATGTAATGAATATTAATAGATTAAACAATGAGCTATATTACCTGTAATTCCTTGATCGTCATATAAAGATAACAAACAACTAAATTATTCGACATACTTGATAGTTCTTAACCTTGAACTGAATGGGTATGTAGTGTTATTTGAAAACAACTGACAACCACTGCGTCATTAATTGAGACGTCACGCATTGGGACATATATCTACATCCTGGCTGGAATATATTTTAGATGAATGCGTATGCATGCATATGGTGATCATGTTGGTGTAAGAATGATGAAACGGAATGACCACGAAATAAAGTACGACCAGAATAAAGTTGAAGTTGGATAAAGTCGTGTTTCGCGGCAGATCGTAATAAAGATAGGAAGGAAAACACTGAGGGAAAACAAGTAATATAGTAGTTTAAGGTAAATTTCCATGCGCTTGTCAGTTGTTACGACGAATACATAGTCTTTGATAGCTTTCGGCCATACTTTCACGACAAATACTTCGCAAAACTGTTCCACAGGTAGCATAGTTTTAACAAGCTGAGAATCAATTTTGAGGTTACGGGCACTTTAAGTAATCATATATGCATTGTTCAACTTTTAAGCACAGTTTCCATTTAGTCTTGTACAGTTTCCATTTAGTCTTGTAGAACAAACCGGTTTAAAAACTCGTACATCCCATCGTCGATTGGGATTTTTAACGAAAACTGTCAATTGTAAAAACTTCCTATCATAGATATTTAATGTTAGTGACACTTTTTATAGACATTATTATGAATTCTTAATCTTAAATCTTAATTAATTGTTGTAAAAATAATTAGTCATACATAAATTCTAATCACCTGTAATATTAATTTAATTTCGACGTATTTCAACCTTTGGTTACAATGTCAGAAACTTAATAAACACATTATTTTACATTTACGTCTTAACGATCGCGACCTTGATATCATGCGGGCCAATATAAGAGTGTCAATCTACCACAACATTGATTTGCATACAGAAAGATCCAGACTGTCTCACGATGCAATGCGACCAAGTGAATAAAAAGAATATTATGGTCAGCGGTAGGCACATTTGCTTGCAAAAAACAAGAAGTTGAAAATGATGCTGAGCCTGCTGACGAAGTCAAGACCTAATAATGTGTACTATATACTAAACATATATTGAGGCCTTCTTTAGGCATTTCTGTAATCTATCAGTGAATTGAGCAGCGAGTAGTGTTACAGCGATACATCTATAGGTGTGTAGTCCCAGTTAATGATTGTAAGAGATGGATAGTCTACGAAATATAAAGTAATTAATATTACTGGTTCCAAACGGCAAATAATTGCGCAAGGGAAGTGCGTTTACACGAGAATGATTAGATATAGGTTGAGCTCTTGAAATTAACGTGAACTAAAATTCTGTTTTAAATTAAAGTTGCAATATACTCCAAAGATGAATCTAGAAGCGAAGGAAACTGGGAATGATATTGCTGCCAAGAATAATAATCAGCGCGTCAGTGTTATAAGATGGGCTGGAAGAGAATCAACGAAGACTTTCCAGGAGAAATCTAGCTTTGAAGAAGACTGTACTGTCTCTGTTGTTCAAGACGAATCCTTTGTATCATCATGTTTAGTTACTGCTAAATATCGCTGCGCATTTTGTAAGAAATCATTCAAATGGCACTCACATTGGAAATCTCATGAACGAATACATACAGGGGAAAAACCTTTTAAATGTGAGATTTGTGGAAAGTCTTTTGCTAGATCCGATGGTTTACAATGTCATAAACTTACTCATATCACCGTAAGACATCTTCCTAGAACTCCAGGAAAGGGCAGTACACAAGCGACTGCAGTTGCATGCAAAAACCCACCAACTGAATCAGCTGAGCAAATTTCAAATGTCACGAAAGAGCTTGAACAGAAAAAATTATTTAACTGTAATCATTGCAATAGAATCTTCTACAGTTCTGCTGGAGTGGTGAAGCATATGCAGGTTCACAAAGGTAAGAGATTTTACAATCACATTTTAAATTATCTTACACAATTCGTCATTGCAGCACATTAATAATTATTCAGCCCATTTTGCTAATTTAAATTGAAGGAAAGCATCTATTTTAGTTAATATTCCGTGTTCCAAAGATATAAATACTTCCTGCAACTATAAAGATTTCTAAAATATATTTGAATTTGGATCGTAAATATATTATCATGGTTTTTCTACAGCTAGATTTGCTTTGTGAAGCATTTATAATCGTAAGTACTGCTCGTATACTATTCTCATAACTATAGTGCGGTTTTACACAAACTAGACCGCCTAGAGATCTTGGGTTTCTTCATCAGAATAATGAATTACAAAATCAAAATCAAAGCAGCTAATAGCTATCTCATTTTCTAATGCGGGGGCAGTCAAAATCTGCGGGGTATATCGAAAATCGTATGGCTTTGTGCTTTTGGTGTAAAATGAAAATGTTTATGTGAAAATACATGAAATATATACATTTACTTATTTTAGTAAAGCAGTTTAGTAAAGGTATTGTTTTTAGCTTGTTTCAGTCAAGAAACATTGTTTTTGCAGCTTAAATAACGAACCTGTCTAAGAAAAAATATTATATTAGGCTTCATTAAATAGAAAACAATGCAAACAAATAACAGCTATAGTATAGAGTCAGACCTTTTTGTTTGCTATTACTATATCCAACTATATGAAGGATTGGGTAATCTGTTCTGTTGTGAAAGGTATACTGGTTTGAGCAAATAGATTCGAAATATGCAGTTGTAGGCTACTAAATTAAAGTGATTCCGAAAAAAGTTCGCATATAGCTATAATACACAATTTAGTAGCCTATACAACTGCATATTTCGAATCTATTTTAGTCACCTTCATCAATATGACAAGTTACAAGATGAGTTGTACCGCTGATTGCTGAAGATGAATAAAAAAGATTCGATCTTTTAATTTTATATTTGCTGAAACTATCAGCCGCTAATTCACCACTTGCACTGTGGGCCCCATGCACGTGTACTTGGCACGTGGTAATACGGGTCACGCAAGCAATATATGGAGAATAATACATGGTGCGCGGAAATACCAGATTTATTTCGAGTGTTGAACATGATATCTCACGAGTGAGCGCAGCGAACGAGTGAGATATCATGTTCAACACGAGAAATAAATCTGGTATTTCCAAGCACTCGTGTATTTTTCTGTTTATTATATAAAGGACAGTCTTTGAAAAGCGGTGGCGACGAGCCGGACGAGGACATCAAAGAACCTAATATAAACTCTTCTCCATTAGAATGTTTTTTGCCAATAAGTACAGGGAAACGTTAGTGGCGCACGTAGCTAGCGAAATTTGACTAGTGCTGCTCCAAGACGCCCACATTCTAGGGGGGTCCGGGGGCATGGTCCCCTGGAAAATTTTGAATATTACTTAGAAGTCTGGAATGGCCATTTCCTGTGATTTCATGGCGAAATACTCCAAAGGGAACATCAAAAAATTGTGTGATACGTGGGAAATTTTTTATACTTTTTTTAGAAAAAAAATTTTGGTAACTTTTTTAAATCCATGCATTTTTTATCATATTTCACTATATATTTTTCAACTTAACTGAAAATTTAGCTAAATATAGTAAAGTCACGAAAGAGGAAAATATCATGTATACAATCACAGTTAATTAATACAATACGCGTCTGTAATATGATCTTTCACTTGATTAACACATAAATGAAAATAATCAACAATTGCGTGGTTTTATACACTATAACTCTACGGCGAGATATACTATATACCGAGCCAAGGATTCGAGCTTCTACGGCGAGATATACTATATACCGAGCAACTCTACGGCGAGATATACTATATACCGAGCCAAGGATTCGAGCTCGGAATCGAGCTCGGAATTCGAGCTCGGAATTTGAGCTCGGAATCTAAGTTTTATTATAGTCTAGGACCTGTATATGAGTTTGTATGCGTTTCACTTAGCACAGTAAGTTTTATTATAGTCTAGGACCTGTATATGAGTTTGTATGCGTTTCACTTAGCACAGGTAATCTCAACTGTTTTAGGGTAAAATGACCATGGCAGTCAACATGGCATATGTGCCAAAACCTGAATCCGGGACAAAATTCCTGAAAATGATCCCGCCCTGAAACGGCAGTGTCGACATAGCTGTAACTTCCGAAAAGGAAAAGCGATAGCCTTTCTGAAGTGTTTAGTGTTCAGAAGGGTTGCTTTTAGGGATGGTCAGTACCCTGAAATGTTAGGCGTTCTCCCCGCTTGAACCTGACATTTCAGGCTAGGGTGGTCAGTGGAAGGAAAAATTTGTCTACTGCTATTTGCAAACTTCCATTAGGCGTGCGATTTTTTTCATGTTTGTTTACTTTTCAAACGTTCAGGTTTTTGACCGGAAAACGTTAACGTTTTGAGCAAGCCAATCAACGTTTGGCGGTGTGTTCAATGAAACTTTGCTAATATTGTGGCAAACGTTCAGGTTTTTGACCGGAAAACGTTAACGTTTTCCGGTCAAAAACCTGAACGTTTGAAACGTAAACAAACATGAAAAAAATCGCACGCCTAATGGAGCTTGCAAATAGGAGTAAGTATAATATTTTACAAGAAAATGACCATGCACCACCCCCAGGTAAATTGCTAATTATGCATAAATAACTAATGTGCCTGGCAGAAGTGAAATATCCCTATTTCCTAAAAACAAATATCATGAGGATTGTCATAAGGATTGTCATTGTTTTCTTTAAATATAATACCATATTTTGCCATCTTGTTTGCTTTTTATCACCAACTGAAACCTGGCAAATATCATCCAGTTGTTGCACTTTTACATATAAACATGGTTGAAGAAGATTTCAAAGGAGGTTTCATCAGGTTTTGAAACAGTGCAGTGTAATTATCTTCGTTACTGTGTCCTTCGATATTTCGTGAAATACTGAAATATGGCGCCATTATAAATTGCATTGGCTCGCCGCTTCTCTGCCCGGATAAATGCCACTTATTCGTCTTGCTGTGTATTTAGACATTACAGTATCCAATAGTACTTTGTAGAATAGTCCCAATCGAGTCTCATCAAACTTGTTGAATATATTAACAATCCAAATTCGAAAAGAAGTATAAAGTTTATAAACATTGTTTGATTTTTTAAAGTGCCTATGAAATGAAATTTATTATTTCAGTATTTGGTACTTTTGGCAACGGAGATTTCGAATTTGATAATAAAAATGTCAAATTTTAAGAGCAAACAGTAGTTTTTGCAAGCTTTTGTAACGTTTTTATATTGAAAAAGTGGTCCGGAGACTGGGAACGAATCGAATACGCGTGACGTAATTAGCAGGGCACGAGAAATTGATACGAGTCAACACAATACAAACAATATAGCACAATGTCGTCGACTGTAGTGATATTTCTGTTGCTATTTCAAGCGATTCAAGTGAGTATGTTTTTGGCGCTCATTATATGCCGTGTGAAGGTGAACCATTAAATCCTCAGGGAGACGATATAATGGACGATATAAGCGAGGAAACGACCAAGGAAGCCGATCTGGATGGCTTGACGCCGGCCATTCTAGAGGCTAGATATGATTATATGAAGTTGATTCTTGGTAGCCGTAGGTAGCCTTTTTTCAGTTGGATACATTTGAACTTCAGTCGTTTTAAATAATTAAATTTGACAAAAACACTCGATTCAACTCGCTGCTTCAATTTGATATAGGTGTAAATGTGGCAAGTGCTCGGATCGAAACTTGGTTGATGCACTTGAATACCGATGTTGCCATGAAATTATTGAAGCGCTTGGGAAACTAACAATCGACGGGAGCATCGCCGGAGAAAATTTCATGTTTGACATTGCATGAAGACTACAAGGCCATCACGAACGAGGCTGTGCTGGCTCAAGTCGGCCCTTTATTGAGAGACCGAAATGGCAAAGCTATAAATCACGTTCAGGAACTCCTTACAAAAGAGTATTGTGGATCATTTCATGCTGTCAAAGTTATAGAATTACTGCAATTTTTACGTTTTATATTTCGACAAAAAACACTTTCCAAATGTGGATAGTTTTCAATAGCCGGTTTAATAATACAGTAATAGAGCCATGTTTATTTATATCGAACAACTATAATGATACGTTTCCGATATGCCTTCAAAACATATACAAACTTTGCCAGCCAGAAGGGTGGATTATAACATCTTAAAGTTACTGCATTGCTCTACTCAAACAATAATGATGTCAAAGTACTATAAATACAGTAATAAAACTCAAACTGTGTTTTATACAGTGAGATTTATATGGTGAAGTTAAACGGTTTGGCTGGTCTTGCATTTGGTGCATTACATAGTCTGCTATTTCCCCTTTTAATACTAACTTTTAACTCTGTGAATAATTTTAAATATAAATAATTTTAAATATTTCTCAACCGCTTCTGTCTTCGCTAAACGTTCTGTAAACTGACTGGTCAAGGATTTCGGTTGCAAAGACTGATATTGCTTGCCAATCTCTTCCAATGTTGTGCTATCAACATGCAGTAAACATAATTTCTCCTATGCAGTTGACATACTCTATATGAAACATAGACAATTTGTTAACCATATTGTACCAAAAACCCCATTGCCCATCTCCCTCTAATACCTATCCCCCCACCAACCTTTAAAACAAAGAACACCTGCATATGATATGAATGAAATATTGGTTGCGCAGAAAGATAAAATAATATACCCCAGTCACCTAGTGGAGTATGTAAAAACTATGCCCTTTCAATTGACCTTATGAGCATGCCTACGTATTAACCCATAAGGCACAAGGTCTTTTATGCAAATGCAAAATATTATTTACCTATTTACCATAAGTTGGCGGTCTCTTGACTTCTCGTACAATTGCTTATGGCAATGACATCTTCTACGTTTCAACAACGTCAATCGTTGGAAATGAGCCTCGAGTCAAGAAGCGCTTAGTGTTACTGCTATCTATCTTAGACCTTGTAAATTGTTCTAGAGCTCTCGTTAAAATAGCTCTCGTCAAAATAGCTCTCGTCAAAATGTGCCGAGCACACCATATTCTTGAAGAAGACGTTTCAGGGTCGAAGTCAGATCGATGTCTTCGAACAAAACGAATCCATTGCCTTTCGTACAGACAGAAATCGTTCGGAAAACAATGCATGCTAGCTAATGCTGGTGTAGACTTGGATCTAATGCTGGTGTGTCGCCACTATTTGCGCGCCTTCTTATTTGGCCCTCCAGGAACACAAAACACTTTTAGAATTTTCCCCCTCTCATTTCACATGAATGAGACGTTTTCTCCATATTTGCGCGGCTAATATGTAAATCAAATCTTTGCTAGGGTTATTCAGCGTCGGCTGCGGCGTGGATGCGTAGTATAATCTCTATCTTGTATTAACGATCACGCAGGCCTATAAATTATAACAGTTAAACGAAATCTCTTCTCGACGTTTCGAGCGAGGGCCCTTCCTTCGTCACGTAGAGTTAGTAGGGTAAGGGAGAGCTCGAAACGTCGAGATTTCAGATTTCGTTTATCTCTTATAGACTTGCGTGATCATTTATACACAAGACAGAGCTTAATACAGCTTATGTTATTCAGCGTGCCCTGCTCTTTACGTCACAGGAAGTAATTTGACGCCTTTTGGCCGCGCACAGACAGAACCACTTTTTGAAGCCAATATGGCATGTTTAACCCTCGATAACTTTTGTTTAATTGATTTTTAGAGCTTGCGTTTTTAAAATCGTCTTTTGTACACTAAACACTATAGGAATATCGAATAAAAAATTTCATTTCATAGGCACTTTAATCGTACTTCATGTAACATGAACATCAAATGAACCGTATACTCATTTCACATTCTCGCTTGCGGCTCGGCATTGTTCGTTAGCTTTTCGGAAAATACGAGTCTACGGTCCCTCTGGGTAATTCTCCCGAAAAGGTCTTTTATTTTAAAAAATCCATACAATTTGCTTTAAAATGCAATGTTTTGACATGCTCTGTAACTTGGGGAAACCGCTCAAAAACACTTTTACTTCGCATTCTTCGACAGCAAAAGCGTGCAGCACGTATTATTCTAGTCGCTGACTTTTCTACTCCTTCTGTTCTTCTTTTTTCCCACATTCGAATAATCCCAACGGGCTCTGACTAGAGCTTGCGCATATGACCTTCAACCCCCCTTCCCGCGTACTGACTCTGGCAAACGAACATTTCTGTACAGTGCTTCTATTCTTTTTGATTGCTTAGATAGCGATTGTAAGCAACTTGCTGCTTCGCCATATTGCTCTTCATTTACTAACGCCAAACAAAGAATTCCGCATAAAATCTTTCTTAATTAACAAGCTTAACCTTACTAGAATCCGAGCTCGAATTCCGAGCTCGAATCCTTGGCTCGGTAAATAGGTATCCTCGTGATTGGGGTTGATTGGCAAAGATTGTTAAATGGGATGTGATTCCAGGTAACGATTATGTAGTTTATTACAAACCTGTGTAGTGTGATGTTTCCCTGTACTTATTGGCGAAAAACATTCTAATGGAGAAGAGTATATATTATTAGGTTCTTTGATGTCCTCGTCCGGCTCATCGCCACCAGTACAGTAACCATGCACTATTGATAACTGAAGTGTCTTCATTTGCGTCAATCGCGTCGATTTTCTTCTGAAGACCGCGCTGTGCTCGACGACAAATTAAGAAGTACCTCAGCAACCTTCTCAAAAGCACGTAGTTTTCTCTTGGTTGGGCTACGTCGTTTCCTTTCAAATCGTTTAGCCTGTAAACAAAATACGATTTTTGCATCTACTGATTTTCCTTTGAAAGTCAAGCGAGATCGCATGTTATCAAATTACACAATTGTCTGAACTCTTTCTCGACGACTTTGTATGTTCATATCTTCGGTTCAGTGCTAGGTTAGTTCAGTGCATGCTATGAAGACATATAATACCACCATTCGATTCAGTGAAACAATATTAACTAATTGCTCACAATAATTTTAACCATTATCAACATTGTAGCGATTTATGGCCTTTGAAAGTCAAGCGAGATCGTATATCAGATTACGCAATAAACCACTTTGGCGGTTTTGTGTTAAGTGGAAACACGTGCTCGCGAAATCGGAAACTCGGACAAACATGGCGGGGCGTAATACAAATGCTATTCAAAATACACAAATGTTTCGACCATTTAATAGATAAATTTGCTCGCTTTCGTCACGAAACAACAGTCAAAATGGAAAATATGTCACGAGAAGAGAAATTCAAAGCCATGAAGCTGCCGGAGCTCAAAGCGCACTTACAAAATCGATGAATTACCGGTAACAGTTTACCTCAAACCCGGACCCGTAGCTATTACTTGTGCCGTCGAAGAAATGAGTTTTTCATTGCTTTTCAAGTCAGTGAAGCCCAAGACCAGTTAAATCTAAGCCTAAGCCGTCGTTTGAATGTTCACGATATTCAGCTTGCCGTGTCTGTTACCTAGTAATTCATACAAGAAATCTTGGTTTCTGATTGGATAATTAGGTCTGCGCTTGCTCAAACCGGCTGTTTACAAATGCGAAGTCCTGCTCTCTCGAAATGGCAGGACTTGGCCTTGTATTGTCTTTTCTTGCGAGCTTTCCGCGTGATTAAACCCACTTTTTACTAACTCTGTCAAGATTACTCAAGTGATGAATATGGAAATCAACCAGCGTGGAAACCCATTGTGATTTGGATATCATTTCTGGCTTCTGCTAAGATATTTTAGCTCACGAAATGCATGTCAACAGAATTGATTGTGTATTTTGTGTCGTATTGATATATAAAGTATGAACGTATTATTTGCCAGTTCATCTGCTTTATATACGCATTGCATGAAACACGAGTGCTTAATATGGAGTTTAAAAATGATATAGCTACCAATTTAGATTTACAAAGTTTATGTTATTTATGTAGATATTTCGCCGCATTTTACACTATATTTACTTTAAACGCTACGGCAATTTTATTATTAAATACCACAGCCATACGCATAATACCATATTAACCATACGCATAGCGTACTGAATTATACAATCAGAGTGCCAAGCGTAGTGGTTCGTAGACTCGTAGTTGATACCACTCCGTTTAATATAGTTTATTAACACATTAGTATTTTTAACGAATGCTAGCCGTATATATAGTGTTGTAAATTCAACAGGCACTACAACAATTGTTGAGTTACGCAATTGCACGTTGACCAAGTGAAAGATCATATTACAGACGTGTATTGAAAACATGATATTTTCCTCTTACATGACTTGACTATATTTAGCTAAATTTTTAAGTTGAAAGATATATAGGGAAATATGATAAATATGGAAATACATTTTCAAAAATTTTCCACTAAATCACACAGTTTTTTGATGTTCTCTTTGGAGTATTTCGCCGTGAAATCGCAGGAAATGGCCATTCCAGACGTCTAAAATTAAAAATTTTCCGGGGGGCATGCCCCCGGACCCCCCTAGAATGTGTGCGTTTTAGAGCAGGACCTGTCGAATTTCGCTAGCTACGCCACTGCTTGTCAGTGGTAGAGTACTGTCAGTAAATGGTTAACAAACCTATCTGCCAATGTCTCTTATTAACAACCCATTAGCTGGCAATGCGACCTACTTTAGTATTTACTGTCTATCAACGCCAGACAATTTTACTCACCAGTAGGTAGAGTACTGCCAGTAAATGCATGGGTTATGATTTCCTGTCACGTCCCAATTTAAAATTTTACATTTTTACGATTTTTATTGTTTCTAATCATGTATTTACTCACCGCTTGGCCAAACATTCTTTATTTCATATCGAGAAAAAATTCAGAATTTGCTGAGAGTCATGTGAGTAAAATACTCCTTGTATTCAAGTGCTTTCGTGTAGAAAGTTTCGTTTGAATACGGCACAGAGTAAAAATATTTATTCTGAATTTTTTAAAATATCGAGTTTTTACTCGCACGCTTGCGCCACGTGTATGCTTGGCCATGTATAGCCCGATGCACGTGCAAACACTGTGAGTACTTATAATCTGTAGAATTTATTTCCGGTGTTTCCAGACCCCTAGGATGTAAACAGCGCTTTGTTTTGATGTACGTTTCTTTCACCGGCAGTGCTAATAATATTTTGTAAATACCGAAATAAAAGATGAAAATCTGAAGACACAAGCTTGAAAATAACACTCTAGATAGTGTTTTGGATTCTGCTTCGAATGAGACTATTACGAAAAATATATGTCCAAAGGGGCCAAAGTTATGTCGGCGAAATGTATCACCAGTTTACATTGTTCGTTATATAATGAAATATGATACCATAACTTACTTGTTAAAATTCGCATCGTACTATTATTGTATTAGGCAAATGTCGAGAACCATACAATAAATGTTTTAGTCCTTGTTGGTATTTTGAATGCACGCTTTATCTTTACTACCACAAAGTTTTGCGCGCGGATTATATTTCGGGCAGTACTAAAATTTGCGCACCCAGCGCTGCGCTTATAGTGCTGCGCAAATTTTAATACCGTAAGGTATATTGTGGACATTTGACTAAAATTATAATTTAATACAATACTCGACTTTGAATAAACAATAGTTTATAAATTCTTAAACCCTTTCATATACATAGTAGCCAGAGATTTGTTGTAGGTAGTCATAAATAAGGTAGATATTCGCAATTTTATTAATTAAACCACTTCATCACATCGATAAGTAGACACTGAATATATAAACTAAACTCACAGATATTCTTACTTTATGTACTGAAAATTTGGGGTAAAACACTTTAAAGACACCTCTTTGAGTAGCCTGCTCGCAGCATTGAAGAAAATTTTGTTGAACAACCCCCGATATCGATCAATAAACACTGATTCTGTTTCCCTCGTTTCATCACATCGATATAAATAAACACTGAATACAAAATTTTGTTGAACAACCCCCTCAAATTTACAAACGAACTTGAATACATAATATGTCCCGGAAAACCGACATCCTCCCCTCTTCGAATCGAGATTTCGACTATACATAACTCGGCCGGAAGGACTGGACACGAAAAAGCAAGAACGTCAAGAATAGTGTGCTGCCTCGCTGACGCTCGGCAGCAATTATTCTCCGTACTAGTTATTGCTGATACAGGGTCTGGATGTTCTTCAGTAGGACCATTTTGTCCAACAAAATGAAGGCTACATATATAACTATCCTTGTTAGGAAAGTTTGCCTCCAAAACTGTTTCCCAACAAATAATACGTCACTTCGCTTAAAATCACTCACAAATTAAAGTTTAAAAGTTATATTTAATAAACGGTTGCTTCGAGTCATTGAAGTCACATTTCAACTCTAAAGGGTAGAGGTGTTGAGGGGTTCTCTCCAAAATTCCATTTCTCGTTTGAACCTTAGCGCCACGAATTTCTCCATCACGACCGATTATAAGACGAACTACTTTCCCAAGTTTCCATAGATTCCGATTCTTTTCATCACCTCCAATTATGACAATATCGCCAACCTCTGGTGATTCGGTCTTCTTATCTTGCTGTAGTAATCGATGTTTCTCGCGCAGACTTCGTACGTACTCTTTACTCCATCTTGCCCATAACGAATCCTTCACTTTAGACAGATATCTAGCTCGCTTTCGTAACGTAGTATCCTGAAGGTGATGTGGCTCCAATTCTAACGGCTGAGTAGGTTGAAGGAACATAAAGGAATTGGGCGTGAGTAGAGGGAGTTGGATATCATCTTCCACATAATCTAACGGACGACCGTTGATAGACGTCTCAACATCCAATACGATCGCAGACAGCTCATCAAAATTCAAGGTACCGTTTCCAACTGTCTTGTGAAATGCCGATTTGAAAACTCCCACAAGTCTCTCAAATTGTCCACCCCAGCAGGGTGCTCTACTTAGGTTAAATTTCCATTCAATGGAGTTCTTTGCCAAGTAATTGTTGATCTTCTCATCTTTATTGATCAGATTTATCAATTTTGCTGCCGCTTTAAAGGTGCTACCATTGTCAGAGTAAATAATTCTTGGTCTTCCTCGTCTTGATACGAATCTTATTAATGATCTCATGAACTCGTCCGTTTCCAATGAATGTAACAGTTCCAAATAGACTCCTCGCGTCAGACTACAAGCATAAAGGATCAGATATGCCTTCCCATCAGTGTTCTCTTTGATTCTGTACTTTATCGGTCCCGCAAAGTCAATACCGACCACTGCATACGGAGTTTCGCCTTGCGTACGACTGGTTGGTAGCTGTCCGGGGGGTGGCGAAGAATACGATGTAGCTCGAAACCGTACACATCCATAACAAGAACTCCTAACTAGCTTTACCAATCGCCTTAAAGGGTAATGGCAATAAAAATTTTTATTGCTTTATCTGAAAGAGCATGAAAAAATAAGACGATTGGCCGTTTACTGCTCTATTCTGTCTCATCTGGTTCCGAAGTTATACGCAAAAATGTGCAAAATATAAATTGCTGATTCAGCACAACGTGTGACGTCATTGGTAGGGTAAGTATGTTTAATGAATACTAAACTGAAGCATAGCTCAGTTATTATGGGCCCAAATCAAATGAAATTTTGGATACTGATTGTACATGATGAGACGCATTGAAAAACACTTCTAATTTTGTTGCCAAGGTAACAATGTCGTTCCCAGGCCCCTTGCGCCAATTTTATAAAACAGCTTTATTCATGGTACTTATAAGAATAAAATAATGTCAGAAGTATGTGTACCATACCTATGCATGCCAAAAGTTTACTTGCATGATAATAATTCGAAAATGACATACACATAGATAAATGCAACTAGTTATTCAAAATCAGTGTAAGGGGCCTGGGAACGACTGCGTTGCCTTGACAACAAAATTAGAAGTATTTTCCCATGCGTCTCATCATGTACTATCTGTATGCAAAATGTCATTTGATTTGAGCCAATAATAACTGAGCTATGCTTCAGTTTACTATTCATTAAACATACTTACCCTACCAATGACGTCACACGTTGTGCTGAATCAGCAATTTATATTTTGCACATTTTTGCGTATAACTTCGGAACCAGATGAGATAGAATAGAGCAGTAAACGGCCAATCGGCTTATTTTTTCATGCTCTTTCAGATAAAGCAATAAAAATTTTTATTGCCATTACCCTTTAACCTCGGAATCCAATACTGCTCTCGTAATTTAGCCATTCTAGTACTCTTGTACTCGTATATTGACCTTCGATTCGTCCTCTGCATTCTAGTACTCCCTCACTATTCTTCTGAATGTTAAACTGAACTCGATCTCTCTGAAACTGTTCCGTATTATTTTGTGTTCAATATATAGACCACAGTAAGACTTTTTTTTTAATGTTTATTTCATTAACAAACGACGTTTCGGAGATTTACTCCATCTTCAGGTAGTTAATAGGATTACAATTCAAAAATTCAAATTGTAATCCTATTAACTACCTGAAGATGGAGTAAATCTCCGAAACGTCGTTTGTTAATGAAATAAACATTTAAAAAAAAGTCTTACTGTGGTCTATATATTGAACACAAAATATACTATTAACATGAGACTTAGGGAAAGTTCGTTCCTAAACATTTTGTTCCGTATTAGTTGATAGAGCTTCTTGTTGTGTCTTCTTAATCCACCACAGTTCTTGGTGTTGGATCTCCTGCGTTGTCAAAGGACCAGTTTTCCGCTCATCAATCACTTTCCGACAGTTCGTCAGAAATCGGTTAACCCAAGCACAAACTCTCAACGTTTTCCAAACATTATTGGCGTGAACAGTCTGTAACTCATCGAAGAGGCTCTGATCATCATCATTCGGGACTTGCAAAGCACAGGTAGACAACACTCGCTCGAGTTGTTCCTCAGTTTTACTCTCTTTCGTCGGCTTCAAGACTGGGCTTTTGGGTCATTCCTCTTGGTTCGATAACCACTGCGCACCTGATATCCACTGATCGGTTAGTTGATTTGTTTTTCTACTGCCAAGGTCTGCAGGATTGTCTTTAGTTGGTACGTAATGCCATGAGATGTTGGGATGCTGGTGGATTTTGTTCACACGGTTTTGAACAAAAGGCTTGTATCGCCCATTTCCCTGCAGCCAATATAGCACAACGGTACTGTCGAGCCAGCAGTGTTGGTCAACAACAAGGAAGCAGTCCAATGCTTGACGGACATTTGCTAGAAGGTTAACAACCATATGAGCACCAGTAAGCTCCAATCGTGGGATCGTGAGATTGCGTTTCGCCAACCGAGACTTCGCAGCCACCAAGGTTTGAGTTGTCCCTGATGGTTGGTTCACTACTGAATACACGGCTGCACTTACGCCCTTGGTGCTAGCATCTCCAAAGGCATGGAGAGTCACTGAATTAATATCTTCTTGGAATTTTGCAAGTGACCGTGGTACAGTTACTAACTCGGGTGTTCTCTTCTCCCACATACTCCACTCCTGAGCACTTTGACCACTGAGTTCTGCATCCCACGAGGCCTTCGTATCGCATACGTCTCCGTATACCATCTTCCCGCTTACGGTGATTGGCGAAGCTAATCCGAGAGGATCATAGACTCTTGCTAATTTACTCAACATTCCACGCTTAGTAGTCGCTGGTGGATCACTTGGGAACACAACACTCAAGGTATCTTTATCCTTTTCCCATTTAAGACCGAGTAATTTGGATTCATTCGGTTCCACACCTAACTGTGTTTTTGCTAATGTTTGTTCACACTCACTGCTAGTTTTTTCAGCGTCCTCTAATTCCCTTTCATTGGAATTCCATTTATGTAACTTGAAAGCACCATCAGCCAGTACTTCGGTCATTGCTAACTTCTTAACACCAGCTTCTGCAACAGTGTTTCCGCCAGATAATAGATCATCAACATACAAATTCTTCCTTAGCTCCTCCACTATCGCAGACCTCCTGTCACGCGAAAGTTCTAGATGCTGATGCTCCGGAGTCGATCAGAGCTCTGCATTCAACGCCATCCACTTTCATTCTAACAACAGGAATGATTCCTTCCGGATTCACCTCACATGAAATTAGCAATTTCTTCCCCTTCACTCCACTCTTGGAATCATTATCACAAATTGAGGTGTGGTGATGCCGCCCACATTTTTGACATTTAGACTGACTTGGGCAATCATTCGCACGGTGTGATGAACCAGTGCAGTTATAACACGGATGTTGTTTGGTAAGAATCGACCGTCTTTCAGACACAGATGATACTTTTGGGCACTCTGCTGATTTGTGTGATTTCTCAGTACAATAGACACACCCCTTGGACACCCCAATAGACCGCATCAGACAAAGTCCCAGGATTCCCAAGCATCATCTGTTCGAACAAGGTCGCCACGTATTCCAGGTAGTTTGTCTAGTGTCATCGATACATACCCATTGACTTGAGAAAGTTTGCCAAGTGTTTCCAAAGACTGCACCGCATATGATAATTTATCCGAGAACTCATGAATTCGCTTCACATTACCATCCGGAATTTGGGGCAAATCGAAAATCTGCTTGGTATAAGCCTTTATTATATCTCGGATTGTTTCCCATATCTGTCTTGAAGGATACTCTTTGCTCTATTATAACCTTCACTTGTAAAAGGTAGTGATTCCACAGATTTGTTGATTTTAGGTTCCAACAACTCTTGTAAATATGCGAATTTAACAACAGCATCAATACTTGTTTTGTCCACCGTCTCTCGGAATTGTTCCCAGAATCGAGGCAAGTCTTGGTAGGCGCCATTAAATTTAGTAATGATGAGTTTAGGTAACTTTGCTTGTGACTCTTTCTTTTCAACACTTGCTGATTCTTGCTTTAGTTTGGCTGCCTGTAGCTCATTCTGGAATTTTAGGCGTGTCTGAAATAGTTCATGTTCAAAATCTAATTCTTGCTTCCGCTGGTTTTCCTCGCATTCTCGTTTCTTACCTTCACACCATTCTCTCAGGTGATGAATGTCCTTGTCTGCTTCAGATAACTTTTCCTCAATGTTTGAATTCCATTCACTAATTTCTGTCAACTCCTTTTTCTCGTCAATCATTCTTGCTTGTTCTTCCACTTTACATTTGTCTATGTCAGCAACAATGGTTCGCAAAGCTCGTTGTTGTCGCTCAACTGCTTCTTGATTTCCGGATTCCAGAATCTTTTTGGTTCGCCCAACTATAAGCTTAAGCTATACTAACTTATTCTCAATTACACTGTTCCCAGTTGCCATAGTATCAATAGATTTGATGTTGTATGATTATAAAGTATACAGAATTTGCCAATAAGATATAGCACTTGTAGAATGTCCTTCCAGCCAACTAAAATTTGGGAAAATCTGCCAAATTTCACTAATCACTCCAAAAAATCACAAATGTTTGAAAATCACTGTACCTCTAGAGGGTCCCTCTAGGGCCGAATCTCGTAGGAGGAACTTCGCACACTCTAGCCTGGTCGCAGGCTAAACTCGCGGGTTGCCTTAACACCCTTCACAGTACACAAGTTACACAGAAAATATATCGCTCGCAGATATGAAATATATCGCCACAAATCGCCGAAATATGAATATAATCCCACAGTTCAGAAAGTAAACAAGTCCTTGCACAATAATCTCTCAAACGTTATGTAATATCGCCACAAAATATCGCCAGTAAATTAAAAAATTCGTACCTAAACTTTGTCTCTTGAGGTCAAAACCAGAAATAATTCGCAAATTCCATCAATATTTTTCGTCGGAGGTGCCAGGTGTTAGGAAAGTTTGCCTCCAAAACTGATTCCCAACAAACAATACGTCACTTCGCTTAAAATCACTCACAAATTAAAGTTTAAAAGTTATATTTAATAATAGAAATCGCTTCGCTATAAAATCTCACTTCGCTCTCACAAGTCTCACAAAAAATGTGCTTATGGCTTAACTCAACAAAAATTAACACTGTTCGTTCCCAGTCTCCGACATCCTTCGTACATAGTACATACAAATTTATCGCCTCTGTGGCATGCACGATTGCACGTATCCAGTGCTCTCGTTTTGCGCTATGGTATCTAGCCCCAGGAAAATGTAAAAAAAGACATCAGCTCCATTACTGTTTCGTTTTAACCGATCAGGATACAGTGAATCGCTTTTACAAGTACCCCAAGCGCACTTTTTAATTGTAACCTTTCTATATTGTTCTATTACGCTCCGCCATGTTTGATATCTTTTTTTTACATTTTCCTGGGGCTAGATACCACAGCGCAAAACGAGAGCGCTGGATACGTGCATGCCACAGAGGCGATAAATTTGTATGTACGAAGGATAGTTATATTTTTGTATAGCCTTCATTTTGTTGGACAAAATTAAATGGTCCTACTGAAGAACATCCAGACCCTGTATCAGCAATAACTAGTACGGATGATAATAATAATCCTAATCTCCGTCTAGCATATAAAACGCAACATTAAAATGCGTACGATATGTAAAAGATATTTATAAGCTGCTAGACTTTGCTTGTCATATTCTGACGAGTGATATATGAGATGATTAAATATATCAAACAAGGCGAGAATGCTTAAAATCGTTTAAAACATTCATTTTAAAAGGATCAGGCAGCTGAATATCGTGAACTTTCAAACGACGGCTTAGATTTAACTGGTCTTGGGGTTTCACTGACTTGAAAAAGCAATGAAAAACTCATTTCTTCGACGGCACAAGCAATAGGTACGAGTCCGGGTTTGAGGTAAACTGTTAACGGTAATTCATCGATTTTGTAAGTGCGCTTTGAGCTCCGGCAGCTTCATGGCTTTGAATTTCTCTTCTCGTGACATATTTTCCATTTTGACTATTGTTTCGTGACGAAAGCGAGCAAATTTATCTATTAAATGGTCGAAACATTTGTGTATTTTGAATAGCATTTGTATTACGCTCCGCCATGTTTGTCCGAGTTTCCGATTTCTCGAGCACGTGTTTCCACTTAACACAAAACCACCAAAGTGGTAATATAACTTCGGCCCCTTTAGACGTATATTCATTGCAATATTCTTGTTCGAGTCATTATCACTAACAACTGTGTGGAGTGTTTATATTTTCGAGATTGTATCTACTAATTTGTATCTTTTAGTTTTATCACGGTATATATAAATTTCCGATTTCTGGCCCGACTGTGAGCAACAACAACAAACTAGCAATCCCAACCGGAAATACAATTTTAAAACATCAACAATGCGACGTTTGTCACGTTGTGCTTGTGCTATGACTCTGGAAATGCCAGAAATCGATTCCAAAGGTCAGAGTGCACATCTATGCTTTTATCTGCTCAATGCCTTTTATTTTCCAGTGCTACAATTCTATTTGTCCGCCACAGGCCCACAGCGGACCTATGTTTTTAACTGAATGCATGTGAGTAATGCATATTACCTTTTCATTGCTCGCGACGGCGAACACAGGATCTGGGTTTGCCTTCGTTGGTCCATTATTACCGATAAAATGTAAACTACAAATATAGCTGTCTTTCGTGCAAACAAAATTATCATCCCGGTGACACGCGATTATCCATTTATATCTCCTTTCTGCCGATCGTACAATACCAGGAAAATGATAAAATTGAATTGGGTCATTGTTTTTATTTCTCTTATGAAGGTGCGGGTATCTTGAATCATTTTTACATGCAGGGGCGTAGGAAGCTTCTAAAAGTTGAGGGGGGGGGCTTTGAGGGTCACTTTCCGAACAAAAAAGGGCATCTAAAAAATTTTTCCCGGATATGTTGGCGACGGGGGGAGGTCAAAAATTTTTTACGGATATATCCAAATTTCCTAATTATGGAAAAAAAATTTTCCGGAAATACAAAAAAAATTTTCGGACATATCATATTTTTTCTCGGAAATGAAAAAAAAATTCCGGAAAATAACATAAATTCAAGTTTTGAAAAGAGCCCTTTGGGCAAAAAAAGGCAATCCTTAAAACATTTTTCACGCAAGAAAAGGGCACTTTGCTCCCGGAAAAAGGTGAATTGGCAAAACTTGGGGGCCTGGCTCCCCCGGTTCCTACGCCCCTGTTTACATGTTCCCCAAACACATCTTTTAGTTTCGACCATATTGCTATTTACCCTGCGAGCAAAGTCCTCTCGTGTTTCTAGTATTTATTTATTTTTTCTCTCGTATTTATTTTTTGTGTATACTCCTTGTGGAGCCGACAATCCAAAAACTTGGATAATTATGCGTAATTTCAGGTTTGGTACTTGTTTTATAACCGGTCTTCTTCAGGGGCCAGTTGTTCAAAGCTGGGTTAGCTAAACTCTAGGTTAACCTAAAATTCAAAGCATACTTCCCAATAGCTTGTTTATAAATTTGGAAATATTTCTTCAGAGATCTTGTCTGAATCAGTAGGAGTTTTTCTTCTCTGAAGTTGTGAAATAAACAGACGTGCGGAAATACATAAACTAAAACAGCAGGTTAAATTTTAACCCAGAGACAGAGTTAGCGCTACAACTGGCCCCTGGGAAATAGGCAGTTACTTAGCAACCTTCGCGCATGCTCAAATGAATTTATACACAAGTTTTGCAGAGTCTCTCTCGCTTCTCCGTGCCGTACTGAGAAGAAATACGAAAGGACTTTGCTCGCAGGGTAATTGCTATTCTATATTGCGTTATATTGCTTGCGTGACCCGTAGTCCGAACTTTTGCGACTGTTTACATTTTTGACCACGTGCCAAGTACACGTGGCGCCCACGGTGCAAGTGGTGAATTTGCCTCCGTGTTGTATCAGAAATACACTCGAACGGTCTGTGCCATCGTAAGTAGCGACAATAACACCAGAAAGGTGCGGATTGAGAGGGATCAACTATCTGACAGGGCTTGCAAAATAAGCCGGCGGGGGTGCCATGAAATTTACCGCCGATTATTTTGTTTAGCACTTAAAATACTCATTAATAATTCATGAAGAAAATTCAAAAGAAATGAATGTTTAGTCAATGTTTGTAAATCGGATAAAGATTTGTCCTGATTTACATAAACTTCAGCTTTGATTTTCTCGGTTTACACAATGTTTATTTTTAAAATTACTTCGCCAATGAACTCATAAGATGGGTCGTTTTTTAAATTTAAGCACGATAAAACATTCGCATCCGATCTTTATCTGATATACAAACTCTCGCCTTCGGCTCGAGTTTGTACATCAGATAAAGATCGGCTGCTCATGTTTTAACTAATACTTGAAATATCAATTCTGCTCTCCTTCCTCCATTCTAAGCTTTCAAACAAAGTTTTTTCCCTCAACTTGGTCTATACTTTCTGGCCTGGTTATTTTCGAAAACGACGTACACTGTACTATTTCGTAAAACCGATTTGCTGTTGAAGAATGAAAGTAGTGATACATTATAATTTGCTTACAGAGCTTAGTTGCGACTTGTATTGCTTAGGGATGGGCCGATATCGATACCAAATACTCGATATACTATCGATACCAGGGTTTTGAAGAAAAGTATCGATACTTCCATTACCAAACATTACAATAATTGTATTGAGCAAAGTACGTGGCCCACAAAGTGGAAAAAAGGAGAATGGATTCCAGTATTTAAAAGAGATAACAGACAAGAACGCACAAACTATAGACCAATCACTGTGCTATCAGTAATAGGTAAAGTGTTTGAGTCCCTTCTCAGCAAACAAATGACAGAAAGATATAACCCCTATCTATACAGTAAATTGACCGCTTACAGAAAGACACATAGTGGCGAAACAACACTGATTGCCTTAACCGAAGAATGGAGACAAGCTGCAGATAGGAAGGAAAATGTCGCGGTACTCTCCACCGACATGAGTAAGGCCTTTGACTCCTTACACCCATCCCTGATGATAAAAAAGCTCGAAGCAATATGGATTTTGTCAAGCGTCGCTTCAACTAATGCGCTCCTTCGAACGATTCAACAGAGTGAAATTGAATGGAAAGATAAGCACCTGGAAACATGTTAAAATGGGATGTCCTCAGGGATCATCGTTTGGACCCCTTTTGTGGAACCTTTTTCAGAATGATCTTTCCTATGAAGTTAATGATGATGCCCTCTATATGTATGCAGATGATCACCAATATACAAGGTAGGGAAACAGTTACAAAACGTACGAAACCATCTAGTGAAAGAGGCTGAACTGGCCTCTTCATGGTACAAAGAAAATTTGCTTCAAACCAACACAAAGAAGTACCAAATACTCACAATTATCCCAAAGCGACAGGCACAAAACGACAATGACATAATATCTATAAACATAGATGGAGTCACTGAAGATCCTTGGCGTAGACTTAGATGATGAATTAAACTTTAGTAAGCACATCAGTGAAGTATGCAAGTGTTCCAGCCAGAAAGTGGGAGTAATTTTAAGACTCAGAAACCTAATCCCCACAAAAGCCAAGCTGGACCTCTATAAAACCTCAGTCCTTCCACAATTAACCTATTGTCATACAGTCTGGCACTTTTGTAAAGCATCGGACAGACATAAACTAGAAAGAGTGCAAGAGCGTGCATTAAGAGCAATATTCAATACGAAGGCACATTCATATGAGGAATTATTCAATAGAGCAAATCTTTCCACCTTGTATAATAGACGACTACAAGACATAGCAATTCTAATGTTCAAGGTGAAAAACAATATAAGTCCACTTTATGTTAACAGAATTTTCGAGACAGTTGACAAGGGCTATGGCTTACGTAGTGCAGACTTCCATAGACCCCGTTTTAATACTGTGCAATATGGCAAACAAGCACTTAGATACTTTGGACCGTATATATGGCAGATAGAGAAAAGCCATCTTTAGAAAGTTTTAAGGATAAGATTAGAAAGACAAATCTGCAAGATTTAGTTGAAAACGGTTGTAAAAACTGTAAGATATGCCTGTCTTAATGTCCTAGATTCTCTTCTTAGAACTTATAGATTTTAGACTCCATTTTTTTATAAACTCTCAAATTAATATATTATATAGTATATAATCTAAAAACATAGATAGATAGTAAGTTTAAATAGTTAGGATAAGTGTCCCCAATTAGTTTGTAAGAGCTAAACACATTGACACTTTTAATAAAGTTTAATAATAATAATGGCAAGAAATATCGATTGTTTCGATACTTCTGAGCCTGCGATATTCTTTTCATTTCGGTCAGCGGACTCATGAAAATGTACCAAAAGCCTAAATAGGTGTAAATACTATAAAAGTAGTTCATTTTCTATGGTGCTTAATGGTCCACGGGCAGGATCAGAGTTTGTGGTTATGTTAGTTACAATCATGAAAATAAACGTGTTGAAAACGTATTCAACCAGCATGATTTTGGCGTCGAAGAGATGAAAATAGTCTTTTGTTGTTGTGGTTGTTCGAGTTGGGAAAATATCGGTATCGATATCGAAAAAAAATGGCAAATATCGAGTAAATATCGTATCGAATGAGAAAGCTGGTATCGCCCATCCCTAGTATTGCTATCGTCTGTCTAATCAATATACACTAGTTAATTTGGATGACTTTAAGACCCCCTAGACCGCCCCCTCCCAAAAGCCGCCTACCCTATCAAAACAGACAGCTACTCAGAATAATTCTGAAAGCCCTGCCTGAAAAATACAAGTAAAACGTCGAAGTTTTCGCCTTTATTGGGTCATGCCTTTTCCAAATCTGAGATTGTACACAGTGAATATTAAACGGATTTGCAGTGGTGCCTAAATTACTTTGAATTTGTACTCGAGTAAAAGTAGAAGTAATTAAACAATAAAACGACTTGAGTAAGAGTAAAAAGTAGTGGAAGCAAAACGTACTTAAGTAAAAAGTACAAAGTATCCTTAAAAAATACTTGAAGTACAAAGTAAAAGTACTATTGTCTGTAGCGTGTAGAGGGGGGGGGGGGACTTCTCCAATGGATTGACATACAAAAGACACAAAACAGCACACGCATTATATGCGTGCACCGAATATACAATATTTCACGGCATGGTTTACTTTCCAGACCCCGTGGAAGATATAAGAAATCCATTTAATAAGTAATGCTTATAAGTAAGCCACAAACGAGAGATCCCAGACGCATGTAGAGGTCCTATTACCAAACCAAAAATTAAAATAAATCATAAATAAATAACTTAAAATTAAACAAAAGTTAGAAAGTAACGAAATACTTCGCCACAAAATGAAAATAACGAATATATTGGTCAACTATGGTCAAAGATCATTTTCATATGCCGCGCCAAAACTATATATATGGAATGAACTTCCAGATTCAGTACGCCATAGTGAATCAATATCTATTTTTAAAACAAAATTGAAGACATATTCATTTAAAAATTTTTATAAGTAATTGACACTAGTTTTACCAATTTTAATTATTGCTAATTGTATCTATCTAACTGACTTCTTATCTAATTCACTTCTTATATTGACTTTTATATAGTAATGGTGAATAAACTAAATTTTTAAATGGATTGATGTAAATATACTAAAATTTTAAATTTTCTAAATACTATAATAGTGTAAAGCGCCATTGAGCTATAGGAAATGGCGCTATAGTCATAGAAATACATGTCATTATTATTATTATTATTACTTATTTATTATTGTTCGTAATAACAAGATGGGTACTTATTTATTATTGCTCGTAATAATAAGATGCAAGGGTACTTATTTGTTTGAATGAACGTTTGCTTATTGTTTCTTTTTGTTTGGTCCAAATGTTTTATTTTATATTTTCTAGACAGAACGGACTGTATTTGTGAAGTATGTGACATAGTATTTCCTAAGAAAAGTGCGTTGGAAGTTCACAGCAGGATGCATACAGGAATCAAACCATATCAATGTAATATTTGTACCAAAGCATTCTCAATTTATGGAAATTTGAAAAGACATTTATTAATTCATACTGGAGAACGTCCATATCAATGTTCTCATTGTTCAAATAGTTTTAACAATTCAAGTCATTTAAAAAGACATGTAAAAAAGAAACACACCAACGACAATGGAATAGAAGAAGCAGTAATAATCTGATAAAACACGACAACGAGTGTTTTGAATAGTTTAAAATACGACTACAAAAGATGCCGTCTCATTAGTATTTTTATATTAGAATACTAATTAGGATGAACAATTATAATTATAATGCCATGCACATGTGTTTTATCAGATATAAAGTCACTCCACGTGACATATTATGGCTGACATGTTTGCCACAAGGTTTATGAATTATTAATGAGTATTTTAAATAAATAAATATGTAGTCGTTTTACCTCATAAGTATAGTCTTATGAATTATTAATGAGTATTTTAAATAAATAAATATGTAGTCGTTTTACCTCATAAGTATAGTCGTTTTATAGTCGTTTTACCTCATAAGTATAGTCGTTTTACCTCTTTAAGGTTGCCACAACAACCTGTTTCATCCAAGAGGAATCCTCTTTAAGGTTGCCACAACAACCTGTTTCATCCAAGAGGAATCATCAGGTTGCTGACAAATTTCGAAAAGTAGGCTGCTTAAATATTTACGGTCGGAAACAATACATGCATTCCTCCCATTATTTACTAGAAATTTCTTTTTATGATTACATGTCGAAACTATTTTCGATTTTTTGTTGAGTAAACATTGTTTGTTTTTTTCCTTCGGAATACAGAGTTTTTCCTCTAAACACAAATCACATCTTTTTGTTCCTCCCGTATAAGAAACAGCGCGTTTTAGTATTAATCAAGTTATGTCGAAATCTTGTTTGTTTGTTTTCTTTCAATTTCCAAATGTATTTCGAAGTTCTGTATCGTTTGAGTATTTTTTTGTGATTGAAAGACCTATTGTGGTTTCGGTATCGCTCTTTAAATAGTTTTACAATGTTCGGATTATAAAACGGTCAGTTTTACATTGTTCGGATGATTGATTGCCAAAGCCAAAATCCGGAGGGAAACAGGGGGAAAGTGAATGAAAAAATGTGGGAATAAGCGCTGTAAGATTTGTGATTTTGTGCAAGGAGATATATTTAAAGAGCATAAGACGCACAAAATAAATTTTACGCTTAAAAGGAGTTGTTTACTTAGTTATTTGTAAATAATGCATGCCACAAAATGTAGTGGGTACGTAGTACAACAGGGTGTCCCAAAAAAGTGACACTATTAGCCATTTCCCAGTCGAGCAGAGGACTGGGTCTAGTCGCTTGTTTGGAGGGGGAAAAAATAAACAATATGCCGAATATGGCATCTAGGAAGTTTTCCTACATTCCTGAAGTTATTTGTGGAGCCTGAAACGCAACACTTATAATAAGGCATCTTTTAATATATATTTAGCTCGCTCACTATAATTTGTTGTCCCTCCAAACATCAACTAGACCCAGTCATCTGCTCGATTGGGAAATGGCTAATAGAAATTATCATATTGTTGTTGAACACAGGATTCATGCGCCTGGTAATTAAAAATTCAATTCAATTGTGTTTACGCACTCTTGTGTTCAGCATAGTGCTCAGGCATTCAAATTTTAACAATAGGATAATTTCTATAATGTCACTTTTTTGGGGACACCCTGTACAGTACAACATTTAGAAAACTGTTCAATAACCATAAAAGCAGTATTGTAAGATATGCACGGAATTTGGAAATGGCCAAAGGCGAATTGCGGGGGAACACTTGTATTCACATTTTTTCACGGGTACGCATAATGGGTTGAAAGATGCTATACTGTAGAGCGTTTGCACATGACGTCACAGCCGCCATGTTGGTGTTCCAATTCAAAAGAATTTTAATTAGACTCTTTTGTCTGGAACACCAACATGGCTGCCATAGCGTTTGTTGAGTTGGTCCTTGGGGAATGAGTGCAAATGCTCTATTGTAAGATAATTGCTAAACAGATATTGATGAACCACCTGGGAGAGAAGCGTTTCGGGCGTATATAAATTAAATACTTTCAGCCCAAAAGGACTTAATATTTGGGTCTTTACATTAATTTAAAATTCTAATTTGGACTGTGGACTATAATATGTGTAGCTTTGTGGGTTCTGTAACTTTTGATTTTTGACAAAGGAGGCTTGCCTTCGAAACGTAGAAACATAAAATAAAGTTTTCTTTGTGATTAAATTATAAATGTGGTGGAAACTTGGGGAGGGAAGGTTTCTTGTAGGTATGCAGCCAATTCAAAAAAGGTTGTCCTTTGCAAACCTTAGACCCCGTTTACACGGTACCGCACGAATTTGGAACCGGGCTGAAATTCGGCCGTGTAAACACACGAGAACCACGGAACCGGACGAATTTGAGACCCCCTACAGGACGAATTCGCGTGTAAACAGGCGAAAAAGGACGAAATTCAGACCGGTCCCAAATACGTTCGGTACCGTATAAACGGGGTCTTAAACTCTAAACCTTAAACTTTAAACTCTAAGCGAGTAAAGCTTAATGGGAGCACAAGTTTCAAGCTTAGTAGTAGAATATTGCAGCTATTTGTGAATGAATTGTTCTCGTAAGGAAATATTTACCATGTCTCTAAGAAATGGACCCCATGTATGATTTCTAAACTGATTAAATTATGCTCCCATTATGCTTTGCACGCTTAGAGTTCAAGGTTTAGAGTTTAAGGTTTGCAAAGGACAACCTTTTTGAATTGGCCTCAGTCTTACACTTTACCAGCGAAGAGAGAATCAGCGCTTGTCACTTTATAAAGAACATCAGGGCCATACGCAGGATTTTTTCACCAGGGGGCAGTAAGTCCTATATGCCGAAAAAAGTCCCAAATATCCAAAGAATAATTAATAATGACATTCTAAAAATCGCAAATATTGTTTTCTCGGGGGGGGGGCAGTTGCCCCCTTGCCCTCCCCCCCCCCCCTCTGTGTACGGCCCTGCGTACATGCAGATAAAGAGAAACAGTAAATAACCGTGTTTCTCATATTAGATATTACGCTCAGTGGATGAGTAAAATATGCACCAAACTATCACACAAGAGAGAAAACGAACAACTGAACCCTTCACATTCTTTTGCAACAAACTATCTTTAATTTTCTCTTCTTTTTTTATGGCATTTGTCAACCTCGTAAGTGAAAAGAGCCTGGGTACGAGGTTGGGCATTTGTATGTGACTTCAATGTGTCTTATAATTATATAGCGTAAACACGTAAAAGTTAGACAATTTATTACAGTAATTTAAACGTCAACTTTTACTTGCTGTCATATGTTGACCCATTATATGCACGTATGAATAGCTCAAATATCTAGATGATATTAACATTTTTGTATCTGCGAAGCAGATATATATGGCATCGACTATTTCGCTGACCTCAGAATGACATTTCGTCAAAACTTTTTTCTTCAAGATTGGTTTAGAAACAAATTTGGAGCAGGGTTAGGTTAGGGTTAGGGTAAGGATTAGGGTTGGGGTTAGAGTCGGTGTTTGGAGTAGGGTTAGTGTTAGTAAAACCGTTGCTTTGTTACGTTTTGTCACTCTGAGGCCAGCGAAATAATCTCTTCCGATATATATATGCTATCGCAAACGTACCGTATGTTAACACATAGCCATTCAGCGATTCGTGTGGGTATGTTGTGTTAAAGTGAACAGTAACAGTTACTTGTGGTATATCATTAACTGTGCACAGGATTGGAATTGAATTAATATTTACCTCACTCATGACCTTCAAAACATTCTCTACTATTCAGTGGTCTTCAATATATGATTGACTCTTTGCTACAGTAATTGCATGTTCCTCGAATAGTTTGTGTATGTTACTCAACAGTTGACATTGGCTACGGGTGCACCGGAACCAATTTTTAAAGTTGGAACCGAATCTGGCCAGAACTGGAAAAAAGTTCCGGCTGGAACTGGAATTGATTCATTAAGTGATATATGGTCATATGTTACTTTGTCTGCTGCCAGACAGACACTTTCAGTCATCTAGGAGAGAACACGCAAATGTTAGAATAAAAAGATTGACATAAACGTCATAATAAAGCGTTAATAGTGTACATTTATCTTGGCATGTGCTAAAACCTGGACGATGGACGTCCAGCGTCCAGTCCATCGTCCAGGTTTTAGTCCAAATTTCTTCCTATGCTATTCAATAAATAAACTTGATATTGTATCTCTCTGAAAAGGACTGACAAAGTTCTCGTTCTGGCCATGGTTTTTTTTATTAGTGCCTGTCGGAACCGGAACTCTGAAAAATCAGGGTTGCGGCCGGAACCGAGTTCCAGTGCAACCCTAACATTGGCAAGTGTAAACAACAAGTGACAGAACTTTTGCTTCATATGATTACAATAAAGTTTTGAAACTTCATGGTTTGACAAGTGACAGTTTACTAAATAGTTGGCTGTAAAGACACTTCAAATATTGTTTCCATGAAATTTTTATTTCTTGACTGTATAATTATGTTACAATCATAATCACATAAAATTAGTTACATTTTTTCGACGGGGGGAGGGCAGTTGTTCTTGCTGCCCTCCGCTAAAGTCTTATTTGCTATTATATTTATTATAATAATAAGTGATGAAATATTTCAATTGTCCCATGTCATCTTCATTATTCAGTTCCTTTCAAGGAAATACAAAATGTGAATCAAGTTATTTCGCAGATACATGTACGCTTTGCGTACCTATTTTTCTTATTTTCTTGGCAGAACGAACTATATTTGTGAAGTATGTGACATGGTATTTCCAAAGAAAAGTGCAGCAGGGTACATACAGGAATCAAACCATTTCAATGCAATACTTGTGCTGAAGCATTCTCAATTTATGGAAATTTAAAAAGACATTTATTAATTCATACTGGAGAGCGTCCATATAGAAACACAAAGGACAGCGAGATCAAGAAGAATCTATATTGTGAAATTTTTGGGATGCATCCTATACATGCACGAATAATCTGAGAACCTTTCGACTTGTTTCCTCCAATAGACCTTGTGCATAATGACGTCTCAAGGCGTGATACGCGCGGTGAATTCTGGTCTTAGTATAGTCACGGCGGGAAGATTCAAAACAATCCAGCATGGCTACTGTCAAATGAGAGTGTACATGTGCTGCTGTTCTTTGTTGTCTTTTAGAAGCTGTTAAGCCAATGAAGACCCTAGTTCTTTTCAGAACTCTTGCATGGGTCTTCATGAGGTTTGACAGCCCTGAAACGAAAGAAGTTCGCTTTCGTCGACCAGTACGAGTAAATAAACTAGCGGTTTTATGTGTTGTGTTCCTAGTGGTTTTACCAACAATAATCCAGAACTATATTCTGTTATACAAGGTGTATAAAAAAAACTGAACAGATTTGAAATTGCTCTCAATTTCGCAAAACAGCTATTAGTATCCAGTTTTTTGATATATATAGCTTCTTTGGGTACTTATAATGTAGAATAATGAAAAAATTTCTCGAACTCAAATTTTGTAAACCAGGGGGTATGTCTTTTCCAACAAACTAAAAATGGCTTGCGCACGAGATTTAAAAGCTTTAATCGTATTTTGAGTTAATGGGTGTTTAATTGCTGCACGAAATTTCAGACAATTTGCTTCAGTTTAAGTCCTTTAACTATTCACGCAAACTCATATTTTTTCCTAAAAATCAGCCTTTTGCATGCTTAATTAATGCCTTTGCCTAATTTGCATATGTCAGCAATATGCAAATTAGGTAAAGGCATTAATTAAGCATGCGAAAGGCTGATTTTTTTAAAACTATTAAAAGCAAATTGTCAGAAATTTTGTACAGCAATTAAAAGCCCGACAAAATTTTGTGCGCAAGCCATGTTTAGTTTGTTGGAAAAGAAATACCCCCCTGGTTTACACAATTTGAGGATTTTTTTCATTATTCTACATTATGGGTACTCAAGGAATCTACAGGGTGTATTAAAAAAAAACCTGGCTGAACAGATTTGAAATTGCTCTCAATTTCGAAAAACAGCTATTAGTGTCCAGTTTTTTATGTATATAGCTTCCTTGGGAACTTATAATGTAGAATAATGAAAAAAATTTCTCGAACTCAAATTTTGTGAACCAGGGGGGGGGGGTGTCTTTTGCAACAAAATAAAAATGGCTTGCGCACGAAATTTAAAAGCTTTAATCATATTTTGAGTTGATAGATTAAAAATTTGTTAGGTTTTTAATCACTGTACAAAATTTCAGACAATTTGCTTTAGTTTAAGCGCTTTTACTATTCATTGTTTCCTAAAAAATCAGCCTTTCGCATGCTTAATTAATGCCTTTACCTAATTTGCATATTGCTGACATATGCAAATTAGCAAAAGCATTAATTAATTAAGCATGCAAGTAGCTGATTTTTAGGATAAAATGTAAGTTTGCGTGAATAGTTAAGGGGCTTAGACTAATGCAAATTGTCTGACATTTTGTGCAATAATTAAGAACCCAACAAATTTCCATCTATTAACTCAAAATATGATTAAAGCTTTTAAATTTCGTGCGCAAGCCATTTTTAGTTTGTTTGAAAAGACACACCCCCCTGGTTCACAAAATTTGAGTTCGCGACATCTTTTTCATTATTCTATATTGATAAGTACCCAAATAAGCTATGTACATAAAAAATTGGATACTAATAGCTTTTTCTGTTTTGCGAAACTGAGAGCACATTCATATCTGTTCAGTTTTTTTTATACACCCTGTATATATAACAAAAACTTAATACCACGAGCTGTTTTGCGAAATTGAGGGCAATTTCAAATCTGCTCAGTTTTTAGTGTAAAGTTTCACTTTACACTGTTGTGGTGACTAGCGAATTCACACGAATCAGTCATTCCTTTACACTGTTGTGGTGACTAGCGAATTCACACGAATCAGTCATTCATTCAGTCAGTCATACAGTCAGTCATACAGTCAGTCATAAAGTAAACTTTCCGGGGGGTGCATACGATTTATATTGTAGTGATTTATTGTATTATTCAGTGTTAACTTTCCGGGGGGTGCATACGATTTATATTGTAGTGATTTATTGTATTATTCAGTGTTTTGAAGGTTATTTAGGCAATTTCAGTTGTCTTATTTTAATATTCTTTTGTCCTTTTGCCAAGTTCACAAAAATTTCGAGGAATCGTTGTCGTTATTGTAAATTTTTGTAAATTTTAGAACATTCGCTTCTCATGTTGTATAAAGGATCTTTCCCCCGGATCACCCGATTTTTTCCTTAGCCGCTCAAATGCGCATGCGCTATCAAGCCGTAGATCAACTATGGCGTGACGATGCTACGAAGGAACGACACAGTGTTGTAGTTTTAAATATACTAGGGAGATGCTAAGCATCATGGGGCGAGCCTGAGCCAGAGCAATGATAGCCAGCACCTATCATGCAACAATGATTACTAATGTCAACAAATGTCAACCTTTCTTGTTTAATTTCCGCACTTTAATTAATTAAACTGCATTGGCATTGCAATAGTTTCGAAATTTCAAAGGCAAAACTCGTAGTATTATAAATGTTGGGAATTGTATTTCTATCCGTGTATTATATTTGATATTTTGTTCAAAGGCAAAACTCGTAGTATTAATGTTGGGAATTGTATTTATATCCATGTATAAGCTAGCCTGTTCTAAACGTCGCATTTTACATGTGCCGAATGCATTCAAAACATTAGATAATCAGCTGAAATCATCCATTGTTTTGAATGCATTCGTGATTCGGCGCATGTAAA